GGGAATAAGGACCCCCACCTTAACCAAAAGCGCTTGGGAATAAGGACCCCCACCTTAACCTATAGCGCTTGGGTATAAGGACCCCCACCTAATCCTACAGCGCTTGGGAATAAGGACCCCCACCTTAACCTATAGCGCTTGGGTATAAGGACCCCCACCTAATCCTACAGCGCTTGGGNCGGGAGGTGAACGCGTGCTCTCTCCTCACTCAATACAGTTGACGAGCGGACCGAGTGCTGAGTGTTCACTGTTCTCCCCTCGCTACTCCCCTTTTAAGGGCACAACACAAGCACACTCACATTCTCACCTACAGACAATTTAGAATCACCAATTAACCTCAACATGTATTTGGACTGGGGGCTGCAAGTGTGGCTCGGTGGTTAGCACTGTTGCCTTGCAGCTAGAAGAGCTGGTTTGTGTCCTGGTGAAGACACCCGGGATCCTTCTGTGTGGAGTTTGCATGTTCTCCCTGTGCAGCGTGGGTTCCCTCCAGGTTCTCCGGCTTCCTCCCACAGTCCGAGGTGGAGTGCAGGATTCTGAGGTGGGCGGCACTCCTTCAACGCTTACGTCATGTGTCCGTTGTAAAAAGGTCTCATATTCACTACCTTCAGATGTTACATGTTTCATGTGCGAGATAGCAGTTGGTACGAAAACAAACTGCTGAAAAAACAAAACAAAAAACACAATATTTTAGAATCAACATGGCAAATAACTGATATTTGGATATATTCCTAAATATGAGATTAAAAATATGAAATTACAGACCACATCCAATTTTTAAGACCTGTCCAGGGTGCCTTCGCCCTAAGTCAGCTGAGATAGACTCCAGCTCCCCCCGACCCTAATGAGGATTAAGTGGTGTATAGATAATGGATGGATGGGTTTTTCATACATTGTACCTGTTTATTCCCTTGGTTTATTTGTCTGCATGCTCAGTAATTTACTGTAAATTCTAATAAAAAAATGTATAGATTTCAGGTGGAGCCTCTACAAAAGAAAAATACAAAGTTTATTTCACATTTCAGACCTATCAGAAGATAAAGCTGAGCTAGAAATTACCGGCAGCCAAACAAGACGTCAGCCCTCAGCGCCTTGTGGTTGGATGGTTAACCAGCAAGCACTGGTGTAACAGACATTGTGTAGGTGTTGCTGTGCTGTTAGCAATGCTAGAACAGTGCAAACAACCGCACGCCCGGAAGCCTGATTAAAAAGGTAGGTCATAATTTTGCCTTTCAATACAACAACACTCACTCAACACTCTCTGCTGCCCTTAGGTCTTGTGGGCAATAATAAGAAAATGCAACTTCATGACAGGTTTTTTGTTCTGGCTTTAGGTTTAACTAAAAAGCCACTACCAGAAGACCTGAGAGCTCTAGAGGGTTCATAATGTGAGAGCAAATCGGATAAATACGAAGGACCAAGACCATTAAGAACTTTATAAACTAATAAACGGATCTTAACATCAAACCTAGAAGAGACAGGGAGCCAGTGCAGAGACTTTAAAGTTGGTGTAATGTAAGCTCTCCTTCTGGTCTTAGTGAGGACTTGTACTGCCAAGTTATGAAGTAGCTGGAGTGGATGTATAGTGTTTTAGGGAGACCAGATTGGAGAACATTACAGTAGTGAATGTGACACATAATAGAAGCACGTATGAGTGTCTTTGCATTAGTTTTGAGACGACTGGTCACAGTCTGGCAATATTTGTTAAATGATAAAAAGCCATCTTAGTTATATCTTTAATGTGGGGCTTGTAGCACATGTGACCTTTTTCTTTTCAATCTACTGAAATATTCATAATGACATTATCAGAATAATTACATTTCTGTAGGTTTTCATTGGTACAGAAAGAGCATGGCGTGGGAGATGTGGCCTTGTTTAACCAATGTGGAAAATCCTTTGCAGTAAGTGACCGTCTGACGGACACTTCTTCTCCTGCCCGGTGATACTCTCCCAGGCCTTTACTGCAGTGTGGTGTCTCTGCCGTTAACCTGGTCTTCAGCAAGTGCATTAGAGCTCAGTCGAACTCAGATGAGCTGATTGGCTCATCTGGTCAAGGATATTCCACCTTCTTCGCCCTGAAATGTTTTCTATTCACTTTGGATGCAATAACTGAATCTGGGACCCCGTTTACACGTAGCAAAAGCGGTGATATTTCAATGTGTTTGGGCTTTTGGTTTACATGTAAAAGAAAGTTCCAAGTCACCGAAAACGATCATATCTGAAAGTCAAGTATTTTACTTGTTTTGTACTCTATTGCCACATTTTGGAGTAGCTCCACTTCTCTGTCGGTCCAAACAAACGACCCTCACGCCATTATCGTTGAAGTAACAGGAAGTGATTCGAACCATTCGTTGTTGTTTTTTTCCAGGATTCTGATTGACCAGCATGGCTTTATGCTTCTCGTTACACTGCCCCTATGGGTCTGGTGTGAACAATGTTATTTTTGAAAATGTAGGTCTGTTCTTGTAAATACCCCACTATGTGTAAACGTGGCCTGAATCTGCTCTCGCACTCCTCTGTAATGGCCCTGTTGCTTCTCCCAGCAGTGAGATCATCAATAAATGCCAGGTCCAGCAGCAGCCACAGATGGCCAAGCTATAACCGAACCAGCACCATGTTGGACAGATGAGGTACTTTGGCTCATGAACTGTTACTTTGTCCCTCCACATTTACTTTTTTCCTTTCTTCTGATAGAGGCTGATTTTAGTTTCATTAGCTGACAACATTTTGCTCCACAACTGTATTGGTTTCTTTTTTTAGATATGTTTGTAACCTGCAATTTAAAACGTTCTGTCTTTGAGGCTGAGCAGTGGTTTGTACCTTGTGGTGAATCTCACGAATGTCACTGAGAAAGAAACGTGTTCACGTGCACCTGGACAGCATTTCTGACTTCCTGTATAGTCACAGCAGGCTTTTGCTTTATGAAGCACGTTAATTTGCATCCAACTACAAAGCTTTCTCTTTTTTTTTTTGAGTTTCAAAAAATACAAATGCAAGATTATTATCAGGCAAGATTATTATCAGGATGTCCCAATAATGCTCTGAAAATCCTTCTGTTGATCAAAAATGTGGAAGACAGCACTGATAGGAACAAACAGCAAGTTTCTCCCACATTTACTTCTCTTCAGTGTCTCCCTGTGAAATCAAGAATAGAATTTAAAACCATTCTCCTTGAATAAAAAGCCCTTAATGACCAAGCTCTATTGTATCCATAACACTTTCTTATCACCATCGTATCTCAACAGAGCATGATGCTCTCAGACTACTTGTGGTTCCTATAGTGTCAAGAAGAGTGAATGTTACCCTCTTTACCTGCATGATCACCTCATTGCTCCTTATATTGACAGACACACTCACCTCAATGTAAATGACAACGTTTAATTGTCTATTGGAAGGCAGGGTCTGAGGACGCAGCAGTTGGGGCCTAACATGTTACTTTGACAGAATTAAACCAATATTAGACCTATACCACACGAGAAACTTTCTCTTCCTTTTTTAATTTTAAATCCATTTTTGCATTGCATTTGTCAGCCTGGGGCTGCAGGGTGGCGCAGTTGGTAGCACTGTTGCCTCACAGTTAGAAGGTTGCCGGTTCGCGTCCTGGCGTGGAGTTTGCATGTTCTCCCCGTGCAGCGTGGGTTCTCTCCGGGTTCTCCAGCTTCCTCCAAAAGCATGTTGAGGTTAATTGGTGATTCTAAATTGTCCATAGGTGTGAATGTGAGTGTGCTTGGTTGTCTGTCTCTAAGTGTGGCCCTGTGATAGACTGNAGCGCTTGGGTATAAGGACCCCCACCTAATCCTACAGCGCTTGGGTATAAGGACCCCCACCTTGACCTACAGCGCTTCGGTATAGGGCAACCAGACTTTCGTTTGCCTTTCTTTCTCTATTTTTCTCTCGTCTTTCTCTCGTCTTTCCCTCTCTTGTTTCATCCTTTTCTCTCTTTGTTTCTCCTCCTTTTCTCGTTGTTCTTTCTCCCTTTTCTCCCACTTCTCTCTCCTCTTTTGCACTTTCTCCTAAAGTTTTCTCTCTCTCTTGCTCCACTTCTCTTGTTCTGTCTCCACATTCGTTTGCTTTTCTTTCTCTTTGATCTCCAACTCCTGTCTTTTACTCTGCTCGTTTTCTGGGCTCTCATCTACGAGCTGCCTCTGATGGACGAGGCATTAGTGGCCTCCTCAGTTGGAGGGCTCTCACTCCTTTNAAGCGGTGGATAGATAATGGATGGATGGATGTGTCAGCCTTATTACATTATATATTTTTTAAGAGGACATAAAAATCCCTTGTGTTTCACTTAAAAAAAATAAAATGACTACAAAATTTTAAAAAACAGAGCAGTTGTAATGTTGTAAGACCGGGATATTCATATAAAAAAAAAAAACTGACATTCAAATCTTTTAATATCTTCGTGCACATCATAAGTTCAATCTGTCACAATTAGGTAACAACATGATCTTTTCTCTGGTGCCACCCAGAGGCCAAACTTTAAGGTTTTTGTTCCAGTAATGACTTGAGATGTTGTTTCACTTTTTAACAACATTTTCTCAGGACTGCTATTGCCAAGGACTTCTGGTCTTGTTTAATGTGAACACAGATTTATTGTTGTTAAAATACATACATTTTATAGAATTATTCAAAGTGGTTTGTGCATTACAGTGCTGCAACTGCTTTTATAGCGCTGAACAAAGATATTTTAAAATGCAAGCCCTTCTAAAGTTTTTGTTTTGGTGACGCTGCTCAACAGTTACCTTTTTACAGGTGCTGAGAGGGGTACCATGATCCATGTGAACAACATGTTAATGGTCTCTGTGAACAAGGCACTGACCTCCGCTTTTCATACAGTCAGTATGCGCAGTGATAATCAGCAGCAGAAAGTGGTTCTACCTGGAAACGTAAGTGTGAATAATGTTCTGATTTTTTAAACAGGAAACTCCACCGACTTTTGTTTTATGAAGTAAAAGCTGATGCGAGAAAAAGAGAAAGAAAAAAAGAATCTGTTCTCATTACAGGCTCTTTGTTCTTCGACCATGTGGAGTCTCTGCTTCTATTTTGTGAGTCATCTTCTGTATTTTGCAACTGCTTTTCATTTCCTCTGGACTGGAGCGCTCATATATTTGACTTTGAACAACTTTCTTTTCCACTTGTGTTCGGAAACAGCGTTGAAGCATCACATTTTGGAGAGAATTCCTGCGTAGACTGTGAGTTCCTTTTCTTTTCCAAAAAATCAATACTAGGTTAATATTAATACTGCTGTTTAAATTCAATAAATCATTGTTCTTTAAGTGTTACAAAGTGGAAGTTATTAAAGACAGAAAATTCAGAATATGAGTCAATTGTCATTTATTTAATTTATTTGGGTAAATTATTACTTACCCAATTTTTGTATTAACTGATGCAAAAAACATTTTATATGGAAACTGCCTGCAGGAAAATTATCAACTATACAAAATGAGGCTGTGTCTCCTGTTCTACATCCTCTGCCTGATGGCTCCGACTGCCTACAATCAGTTTCAAGGTCTTCCTGGTCCCCCAGGTGCCAGAGGACCTCCTGGGCCCCCAGGACCACCAGGCATATCAGGTGAAAGACAGGTTTCTTTGACTTTACAACAACTGTTGTCTCTCTCTCTCTCTCTCTCTCTCTCTCTCTCTCTGTCTGTCTCTCAGACCACTTCTGACTGGGTCATGCTGAATTTAATCTTTGGCACACTATTGTGTTCTGCAAAAAGAATAGCAAAGTAAATACATGTGCATTTCAAGTTGCATGGGGTGCTGTGTTGTGGTTGGAAAAGCTGGTTTTAAGCCTTAAGTTTGAAAATTTGTTCCACTGATGTGACAAGGCCTTGTTTGTGTTGGGGTTTCTCACCTCCCCCTTATTATGCAAAGTCTTCACTTGATGCAACATTGTTCTCATCAAAACATGAACCCTTTGTTGGAAATACAGATTCAACCTTTAGAAAGTGCAGCATATCAGCTGATACCTGCATGTGAAACATTTTGTGATAAGTACGGTGTGGATTACAACTGTGTACAATGGCCTCTGTACTACTTGTCATCTATGGTCAGATTCAAGTCAAAAAATGAAGGAGACTTAAATCTCTGAAAACCATCATGCTCCCCAGAGGATGAACTTTCCTGATATATGTAGCAACAAGACCTCAGGCCAAACTTTCATTTTAGTCCCACTCAGGACAATAGATGAATAAAGTTGCCCATCTTTGACCTGTTCTTAATGGACCCAGGACCAAGGGGACCAACTGGAATGCTTGGACTTCGTGGACCTCGTGGACCGCCTGGACAAGTTGAAAAGTGTGAACAAGGTGAATGTTTTTTATGGACTTGACTTTTCACTTTTATTAATTTGAGTATTAGCAACATTTCATGTATTACAAAGCTCACAGCATTGGAACAATATGCAGGTGTGTAACTTTTATTGTAGATTTTTTTTGTTTTTTTTCTACACATGCCACTTGTTAGACAAGGGGCAGAGACATACACCAGTGGTCAAAACAAAAACGTAAAATTCCATAAATTGCATCCAGTTCAGCAACAAACAACAAGACAAACAACAAACAGGTGTTGATTCACTTCTGTTTTCTAATTTTAAGCCACTCCTTGAAAAGTCTATCCTTTCAGACTTCCCATTTTCTACGTGTTATAATCCTTCTATTCTGCATGATCTTACAGTATTGTATAGTGTGAATGCCTTTGACTCGTGACACTCAAAATATATGATATCAGACTCACTGGACTAATCTGTAGTCATCAATATGACAAGTCATAGTTGTACAAAAACAAATCAGCACCTCACTTTTCCTCAACAGTGAATCAACACATTAGTAAAATTTTCTAAACATAACACGTGTATTTATTGTAGTCACAGTTGACACTGGTTTGGCTAAGTGAAGAATACTGCTTTGGTGTTCCAAGAAAGAAAGAAAGAAAGACAACAGCAGGGTTGCCTTACTGCATGATCCGAAACCTCTGCAAAATTTGAATTTTTCAGTTTAGCAGGCTGCTAGCCCAGATGTTGTTGCTGTTGTTGTTTACCATAGTAAAGTGGATTTTGAAGACATGTTAGAGTAGTTAGGGCAGAGAAAACTGCCTCACATGCCATTGGCAGGCTTATGCTCACAGCCAGTGAGTCAGATTAGATACTAACTGGACAAGATGGGGAAAGAGGGATGCATGAACAGGTTGAGGGGCAACACAGGCAGACAGATCATTGGATGAGAATGGTGACGACATGGAGAAAAGTCATTTTAACAGCATGGGAAAACAGCAACAGGAATAGTCCATATTCACTGTGTAGATTGGAGAACTTTGGTAAGAGAACTTGCTTTTCTTCATCTAGATTCCCCTGGCTCTGTGGACCGGGATGTTAAAGCCCTACAGCAGACCATTGCGAAGTTAGACCTGGGTAAGTGTCCTTTTCAAAGTCCACAACAGAGTCCCTCAGCTGAATAAATCTAAATAGTGATTAATTATGGCACGGAAATTACAAGGATAATATCCTGAGCAAAACTTTAAATTTTCAGTATGGCAGGTGTCTACCTCAAATGTTGATGTTGTTTGAAAAACAAAGACAGTTAAAAGTTTGATATATGAGAGGACTTATAGCACACAAATCTATGGCTTCTGTGGGGGACAGCAACACCACAAAGACAAAATACATATCGAATATAGCAAACTTTAATAAAAATGGCAATTAGTTAGCTTTAGTAGTCATAATGGTGAGACGACAGACCAGAAAAAACTATCTGTGCGCTGCCTGAATTCACAACAAGAAAGCCTACGACTCAGTGGCCCACACATGGATACCAGAATGCATGGAGCTGGTAAAATAAAAAGAACACAAGGAACTTTGATCAAAAACTCAATGGGACTGTAGAAAACGACACTAGAGGCCAAGTCAAAGCAAATTGCATAGGTTAGCGTTACCCCCTGCTGTTCTGCATAGGCCTGAACCCCATCAGCCAGATCGGCTTTGGATGCCAATTCCAAAGTGAAACAATCATCGGTCACCTCCTATACATGCATGACATCAAGCTGTATGCCAGATATGAGAAAGACATTGAATCACTGATGCAGATTACCAGGATCTACAGTCACAACACTGGAATGTCATTCGGACTGGACAAGTGTAGTCAGATTGGAGGGGTTGAACTGCCAGAAGGCAGCATAGCAAATGTTCAGGACAGCTAAAAATACAGGTAAATGAAAATCATGAGGTCACTGCAAGGAAGTCAGAACTACATAGAGTAAGGCAGGTCTTGAAAGGTCTGCCGCTGATCAGATACTCAACTGGTATAATCACCTGGCCAACAGAAGAGATAGAGGCCACTGGTATCAAGATAAGGAACCTCCTCCCAATGCATGGAGGATGTCACCCCAAGTCCAGCATCCTGAGACTGTACACAAAGCGGAAGGAGGGAACCCAAGGACTAGTGAGCATCAGAGCCAGTATCCAGGATCAAACAGCTAAGATCAAGAATACATCAGGAAGATGACTGCCTGTTATATTATATCCTGCTATGTGAATACGTCAGACAGCAGAAACCCAATAATGAGGAGGAGGAAGAGGAAGAACATCATAGAAGGACAAGCCTCTGCATGGCATGTAACACCGACAGATAGAAGAAGTGACTGACATCGAGAAAACGTATCGGTGATTGGAAAAAGCTGGTCAGAAAGACAGCACAGAGGTACTAATCATGGCAGCACAAGAACAGGCTCTCAACACAAGATCAATAGAGGCTGGAGTCTACCACAGCAGACAGGACTGCAGGTGTTGGCTGTGCAAAGATGCACCTGAGACAGCCCAGCACATAACAACAGGCTGAACATACTGTGCAGGTGGGCACAACATACATGGAGCACCATAGACAAGCCTGAGAATGGGCTGAAAGTCCCAGCATCAAAATGGAAGATGCCTTCAAAGGTGGTAGAGAAAGATCAAGCTAAGATCCTGAGGGACTTCCAAATCCAGACTGATAAACTGGTGGTGGCTTATCAACCAGGCATTTCAGCGGTCAACAAACAGTGGATGAAGGCATTAGTGATAGACTGCAATCCCAAGTGACAGCTATTAGCAGAAAGATGTCTACTTTTTGCCACAGGTTCTGATAGGCTGGCTTCGTGTCAATGTATATATATATATAATTATGGTAGCCTTGAACAATAACAAAATGGACTAGGCAATCCACATACACATAAAGAATCATCAGTGTCTTAAATATGTTTTATTTGGGCAGCTGTGGCTCAAGTGGTAGAGCAGTTGTCCTCTAATCGCAAGGTTGCTGGTTCAACCCCTCGCCCCTCCACAGTCAAAGTGTCCTTGTGAAAGGAACTGAACCCAAAGTTGCTCCCATTGGCAGGCAAGCACCTTGTAGCCATTGGTATATGAATGTGTGTGTGTGAATGGGTGAATGAGAAAACATTGTAAAGCGCTTTGAGTACCGCTAAGGTAGAAACGTGCTATATGAATGGTCTATAAGTGCAGACCATTTGACACTGGACATTGGACACTGCAATCTTCACTGAGTAAAATGCAGCTACATTGTTGTTTTGTGGACGATGCCTTGGATTTCACCACAATGAAAGTCTTATTTTCATATGAAGAAATATCATTGCCAATAATATAATACAGCTTTGGATTAAAAGCAAATGCGACCCATTCAGTCGCATTGCGCCTTGGGCTATTGTGCGTAAACAAAAGTGTTGCTATCACATGACACAAATCACGGGACAGGATTGGCTGGCAAAGACACATTGCTTGCGGCGCCTGCACACAAGTGATTTCTGCAGCTTCTTTCTGGTGTTACCGCTCATGCACACCGACGGTGTTTGACAGTGATATGGAGTGTAATGTTTTTACGCTCTGTAATAATATGTGTTACCTACATGTAGTAAACAACTAAATAGACTGATCTAAGTAATAAACCCAAAACCAATATTTTATCATGTGTTTACGTAATTCAGGCTGTATCTTGGATATAGCCCAAAGCGCAATGACACTGATTTCGTGCAGATGGGTCACAAATGTGTTCACTTATTGATACAAACCTAACTTGTGTACTTTTTGTTTTTTTTCCAGCTATAACTTTTGATTTTGTTCGAAGCATTGGTCACAAATACTTTGTGTCCAACAAGGAGAGAGGCTCCTTCTCGAAGGCCGTAGACTTCTGCTCCCAACGAGGCTTAGAGCTGGCTTTACCACAGAACGAGGAGGAGAACAGCATGCTGACTCAGTTGTATGGTGAATCTGATAAAATGGCCTGGCTCAACGTCAACAATGAAAAGGCAGAGGGGAATTTTGAGTTTGATATGAGAAAGCAACCTCTGACCTTCACCAAGTGGGGACAAGGACAGCCAGATACATCCATCCAGGAAACAGGCTGCACCATGCTGACAGAAAACGCTGTCTGGCAAGTGACACGTGAATGTTCTCAGAATGCTTATATCATTTGTCAGTTCTGAAAAGGTCTTGTATATCAAGCAACAATTTTCAGGAGCCACAGAAGATGCACATGTATTC